CACATACCCTTCTTAATTGCAGCAGTAATCCTGGGATTCAGGTCCAGCTGATCCACATCCATTTCTCAGTGGCTTCTGCAGAGAGAGAATTTCCTAGGTCAGATGAGTGTAGACATGGCTTGCCCACATCGGTTCTTGGGCAGCTGCGCATGTCAAGTAGCAGCAGTGGCTTGTGGTGCTAACCCAGAGCTTTGAGCTAACAGACTAGGAAAGCCGCTCTCTGAGTCAGGGTCATAACTGTTGCCACAGTGGCTTGGCTCACAGCTCCACCTTCTGTGGTCACTTAGAAAGCCGGAGCCACTCCTCATCATTATATAGTTCTTGCCTGCGTGGCAGTGGCTCCAGACAGCCTCCTGGACACTGGACGCTGCTTTGATCTGGACTCTGCTGACTGACAGGTCTTTGATTTGCTTTTCCTTGAATGCCACCTGGGGGCTTTGCAGGGGTGGAGAGCTTTGACTCAAAGACATTCACTCTGTCAAGATGCTCTCAGTCTGGGTCTGAGGAACCCTAGCACAGCACTGTGGGATAAGCACTGGACTGGTAACCACAAGGTCGGCAGTTCAAACCCACCAACCACTCTCAAAAATCCTATCCCGGGTCACTATGAGTCAGAACTGACTTGATGGCACTCAACAAGAAGAATCCTGTGGATGGCCCCCTCCTGGGAGCTCCCAGACCTGCCTTGTAGGTGGTTACCACACAGGTCCCCTGGAGGAACATGGCTCGTGCCAGAGCTGCTGGTGGGAAGCTGGCCTCCAATGTGGCGTTTAGTTTCCTGAGAATGGGAAATGGGAAGTGTCACATCCAGGTGACAAGCACCAATTTGTTAAAGGAAAGGTCATGTGGCCTAATGATGCCAAACAGCCATGGCTCACAGAATATGGGATCATGGCTAACCCAAAGGGGAGAGGAGGTGAGCTGGCTGCAGAGGATCATGGGCACACACTCCATCAGGCATGGGAGAGCGTACACACTGGGATCCCTAGTTCTAGAGGCTGCGTGTGCTAACGTGCGCTAACGTGTTAACGCCACCACTGGCTTGGTCTGTGGCACAGTAGCTCTGAGCAGGTAGAACGGTGCCAGCTAAGACCCTGGGGCTGCATGTGGCTGGGAGCAGACTGATCTAACTCAGTAAGTTGCCGGACTTAGGGTTGGGTAACCCAGGGTGACCAGGGCTGACCAAGTCACACTGTGTGACCAGTCCTTCCTGGGAGCAGAACCATCGCTGCTAGAATGCCTTAGACACCGGCCTCCCCATAGTCCCTTCACACAAGGGCATGGCTATCGACACCCATGCACAGTGAGCCAGAGTGTGAGGGGCGTGTGTGTGTGTTGGGGGGAGCGGGGGGAGAACCAGAGCATCTTCTGGGAGTTCTTGAACTACGCCACCATCTTAGGAGACATTAGCATGACACGCTGAGTTAGCCTGACAAGTTACTAAAGAGAATACAACATTAAACGTGAGTTTATGGAAACCCCACTCATTGCTCAGACCAAGCTCCCAGCTGCCCTGGCGAGATCTCTCTGGGAACAGGTGAGGACCAAGCAGGAAGTGCGGAGGCCATACCAGATGCAAAAGCCAGTCCCAGTCCCCTCTGAGGAGTCCCTTCCGAGGTTAGGCCTGCTCCATAACTAATGAGGAGCCACAGGTAGGATGACGACCTTCAAAAGTTGACGTACTTGTGTCACGTGTCCACATCTCCCAGCTCAGTCCCCTCCCAGGGTCCCAGACAGGGTTGGGTGGGGCAGAGGAGGGCACCCCTTCTTACACTCCCTGGGTCCACTGCACTAGTGAGAGGCCATGATGCTGAACTTGTCAGCTTTCTTCCACACAGTCTAGTGCGGAATCAGGTGCGGACTCAGGTGCTGAATCAAGTAGGTACAGTAAAGCATGTGCCTTTGCGTAGCTTCTGCCTTGGTTTCCTGGAAACCATTTGAGAGATTTCTCCCTAAACCCTGAAGAGTTACAGTTGCCTTAATTTTCAACCCAGTAGGGTATGTTACTTTTGAACAGGTAGGTGGACATTGCCTGGGTAAACTACGTGTGGTTTGATCCTTGTTGTGTGGCTCTGGGCTACAGCCTGCCCTGATTGGCACACACCTCACAAAGAATGGTCAGTAGACTATGCAAATGAGGTGACTATAGGCTATTATACAAAGGAGATATCTGTGGCCTGTTGAGAGGGGATTGACCCCCGGGAGTGGGTGTGTCTTGAAACTGACCAAGAGCTGTGTCCATCAGCAGCTAGCCTCACAGAGGTTTGAGAGACAGAAGGAAGCCGGAAAAGAAAATATAGGCAGGAGAGAGAGAGAAGAGGCAAGAATCATTCTAAACGCCATAATACTAAGACAGGCTTGAAAGTTCATAATGACAGACAGCAGAACCAAGAGAAGCCTGTCCTTAAGGGGTCAAGAAGATCTGAGAGACTTGTCTGGACTGAAGGAGACTTCTGATCCTGAAGAGTAGTTTGTTCTTAACTGTGAGGATGGTCTATGAGTTGTGTGTGACCATTGCAATGAATTATCAAACCCAGAGGAGTAGAGGATGCCATGGAAGGGAAGGCTGGGGTCAGAACTGACGAAAAGGGTTGGAGGTTGGAGGTATGTCTATCTAAGCTCTAACTTAGGGGACTTAGCCTTGGGCTGATCTAAATTCACATTATCTTCCCTGAAGTCAGGCAGGTTCTGACATCGCCATTACTACCAGCTGGATTTCACAGCAGGCATCATACAGGGTCAAGCATTGGGCTGCTAACTGCAAAGTTGGAGGTTTGAACTCAACAGCTGATCTGTGAGAGAAAAATGAGGCAGACGTCTGCTTCTTTAAAGACTCTTGTTGTTAGGTGCCACTGAGGTGGTTCTGACTCATAGTGACCATGCACAACAGAATAAACCATGTCTGTCCTGTGCTAGACTTACAATGACTTACTTGAGCCCATTGCTAGACTTACTTGAGCCCATTGCTGCCGCCACTCTGTCAATCTGTCTAGTTCCTCTTTTTCATAGTCCACACACTTTACCTCGGAGTGCTGGTGGCGCTGTGGGTTAATGCACTGGACTGCAAAGTCGTTTGAACTGCAAAGTTGACGGTTCAAGCTCTCCAGCCGCTCCTAGGAAACCCTATACAGGGTCGCTGTGGGTCGGAACCAACTCAATGGCATTCAACAACACTTTACCTGAAGTTTTGGTGTGGCACTGTAGGATAAGCACTGGACTGCTAACTGCAAGGTCCAGTGGTTCAAAGCTACCAGATGTTCCTCAGAAATCCTATAAAGGGACACTGTGAGTCTGAACTGACTCTACCAAGTGTGCTGTCCTTCTCCAGGAATTGGTTCCTCCTGACAACATGCCCAAAGTAGAAGAGACGAAGCTTAGCCATCCTGGCCTCCAAGGAGCACTCTGGCTGCACTTCTTCCAAAACAGATCTATTGGTTCTTTTGGCAGTCCATGGCACTTTCAGTATTCTCCTCCAACACCACAACTCAAAGGCATCAATTCTTTTACGGTCTTCCTTATTCACTGTCCAACATACACATGTATATGAGGTGACAGAAAATACCACTTTTTGGGTCAGGTGCACCTTAGTCCTCAGTGACATTGGTGCTCTTTAACATTTTCAAGAAGTCTTTGGCAGCGTCATTTAATTTCTTGACTGCTGCTTCATTAGTGCTGATTGTGGATACAAGCAAAACAAAGTTTGACAACTTTAATTGCTTCTCCATTTCTTATGGTTATTTATTAGTCCAATTGTGACGATTTTTGTCTTCTTTATGTTGAGGTGTAATCCATACTGAAGGCTGTAGTCTTTGATCTTCATCAGTATGTATTTCCAGTCCTCTGCTTAACCCAAGCAAGGATGTGTCATCTGCATATTGCAGGTTGTAAATGACTCTTCCTGCAATCCTGATGCCATGTTCTTCTTCCAGCTTCTCAGAGTATTTGCTCAGTATACATAATGAATACATATCATGAATGGATACAACCTTGATACATGCCTTTCCTGATCTTGAGCTATTCAGAATCACTTTGTTCTAACAATTGCCTCATTGTCTAGGTACAGGTTCCTCATGGGCATAATGAAGTGTTCTCAAATTCCCATTCTTCACACTGTTATCCATAGTTTATGATCCACGTAGTCGAATTGCCTTTGCTTAGTTAATTATGCACAAGTATACATCTTTCTGGAGTCTTGGTATAGCTCTATAGGATAAACACTTGACTGCTAACCACAAGGACAGTGGTTCAAATCCACTGGAATTCAGTCCTTGGAAATCCTATACAGGGTCGCTGAGTTGGATAGCAGTGCTATCTCTTATTCTACGTCCACCTCAGACCTGGTGTTCATCGGGTGGCCTCAGATACACCTGGCCGCCACCTGTACTTGTCCAGCCCCATTGCGCGGGAACCAGACGGTGCTAGGCTCGCCCCCAGGTCCAGGTCTGAGGTCCGTCGCCGCCCCGCCCTGCCCCGCCCCCCCGCCGACCTGGGATCGCGTACGTCAGGTCTGCGCTCCGACCTGCACACAGGCCTCAGCCTCTACCTTCAGACCCGGCAGCCGCCACACCACTCACTCACCTCCTCGCGCTCCTCACTCTTCTTCACGCCCTGCCACCCCGCCCACCGCAGTCGTCTCCTCCAATGAGCGCCGGGCGCCCGCGTAGCCTGCACCAATAAGAGACAAGTTCTTCCACACGTCATTAGTAAACTGACCAACCCGAAGTCTCAGGCTCTCCGAGCGGGGCGGAGGAGGCCCCAAGCAGTCCTCACTACTGATTGGTGAGTGTTTGCAGAGGTGGCTTCGCGCGGATTGGTTAGGGCGGCGAGAGGCGGGACCCAGGTTCCGATTGGTGCGTGCTCCGAGACGCGTTCACCGATTGGGCACCGGCTTTGGCTGTGCGTGGGGCGGGGCGCGGGCGGGACCCGGTCAACGCCGGCGGGTGAGGGGCTAGATTGGCGGCGCGGGCGGCGGCGGCGGCGGCGGCGGCGGCCCCGGCGTCATGTCCTCCGAGGTAGCGGCGTGTTGCGACGCCAAGAAGCTGGTGCGGTCGCCGAGCGGCCTGCGTATGGTTCCGGAGCACCGCGCCTTCAGCAGCCCTTTCGGCCTGGAGGAGCCTCAGTGGGTCCCGGATAAAGAGGTACGGCGCTGCGTCCCGACCTGAGCGACCCCCGCCCGGTCCAGGTCGCCCTGGTTCCCTCAGACCCGCGTGCTCCCGGACGCCCCCCGCGACTCTTGTATGCCCTGGGACCTCTGCCCCCCTCCTAGGGACCCCTTGTGTTTCTCCGCGAGCCCCTGTGCGCCCCTCGAGATCTGCACACCCAGGACCCCGTCCTGGTCCTAGGGCCCCCCAGACCTTCGTGCGCACCCCTAACCTGCGGCCCACTAGACTCGGGTGCTCCCGGGAACCTCGTGAGCCCCGTGCAACTCCTGTGCGCCTTCGGGATTCCCGTCCCTCTCCTGGGACCCCCGTGCACTCCCCGCATGCCCTGATGTGTCTGGCGGACCAGCGCTTCCAGGGACCCCCTCCCCTCCCTCACGCTCCTGTCACCCACCGTCATTTTCCCTCTGTACCCCAAGGCACCCAGTCTCCCTCCTGGTGCCTCATCCCCCCCCATCATGTGCCCCCAATCCTCGTTCCCATCCCAGAAGCTCTTGGAGACCCCTCTTTACGGGTCCCTCTTGTGTCTTGTAGGGGTCGTTCCGCCCTGTCCCAGCCCTCGCACCCTCATTTCACTCCTTGTCACACCCCACCCATGGCTTTCCTCCTTCTTTGCCCCCTCTTCCCCCAGCTCATTTCCATCTGCCCATACTGCCCCGGCCCCTCACCTTCAGGGCCCCTGACTGCCCTGAGAGCCTCTGTAGGAATCCTGGGGGTCTCTAGTGTGTTTCCCCCAAGATCCGCCACCTCCTCCCTTCTCAGTTACCTGCCTCTCCCTGGAGCCTCAGCCCTCCTCCCCCATGGCAATGACCTCCCAGCCTGGTGGCCCAGCCCTAGGTGCTCCTGCCGCATTGTGTTACGGCTCATCCATGAGTGGGTGTTGTCCACTCTTCATAGGCATGCCAGGGCGGCTTCCCGCACCCCACCCTGTGCTGGCACCAGCCACAAGTTAAGATCCCAGTGAGGTTTCTCGGGCTCCTGGTCTGTTCTCTTAGCTCAGAGAACAACCTTCGACCTTCCCGTCACTGTGCCTCGGGGCAGTGTAGTTAGAAGACCATTTGAAAATAAATTAAAGTTGAGTCCTGCTGTGGGCTATTAACCACAGGGTTGGCGGTTCAAACCCACCAGCTGCGCCTTGGAAGCCCTGTACAGGGTCACTGTGAGTCAGAATCAACAGCACCTGACAACAATGTTGAGCTAGAAGAGGAATACGTGATTTGAAAGGTTTTCTGTTGTCTGTCGGTCAGTGAAGTCAGGAAGCAGAAGTTCATCCAGAGTCAAGCTTGGTGAAGTGAAGTGTAGACTTGGGCTAGCTGATTCCCTCCACCTGGTGATGCGGGGAGACCTGACAAGCTTCTGATGCTCTCTGATTGAGTGCAGTGTGTGTGAGGGGCGCCTTCCCTGCTCACCGCAGCATCCTCCCCTTCCCACCTGGCTCCGTGTATCTGCATCTTCTAGTGTAAGACTGCTCGCAGGTGAAGTAAGGAGCCTAGGTGATGCTGTGGGTTAGTTTGGCAGTTCAAGCCCACCACCCACTCCAGGGAAGAATGAAGAGGCTGTCTGCCTGTAAAGATTTACAGCCTTGGACACCCTTGGGAAACCGATCGTAGGGTTGCTATGACTTGGAATCAACTCCAGGCAGTGGATTTGGTTGGTTTTCACTTAGGATCAGGACCCATCCTCTGCCAAGTGATCTCAGGAGCTTTTCTGATAGCATCTGCAGAGACGGTGTTTCCAAATCAGGCCATGGTCACTGGGACGAGCTGAGGACTTCAGCGTGCCTTTTAGGGGACACACTGTAACCTCTGTCCCTGCTCTCCACTCGTCTGGTGTGCAGGAAGTTGTTTGGGGTGGGGGTGGGGAGCAGGGAGGTGACTCTGACTTGGAGGAGTGTGGATTTGTAGGAGGACCGGGCAGAGGAGTACTGGGTACAGCAAGGTGGCCAGACACGGCCCTCAGCCGCCTCCCACAGCCTCCTCTCCAACCCAGGGCTGCATGTGGCCTTCTGACTGTGAAACCAGGTCTTCAGCTGATCCTGAGTCTAGCTTGTTGGTCACTTGTTTGGGGCCCTGAACCAGGCCCTCAGCTTTGCCTCATTGGATACCCCTACCATGTTGCAGAGGGTTTTGGGGGTGAGTGGGGGTGTGCTTGGCAATGTCTCTGGAGGACTGTTGCTCAGTGGCATTCAGACCCAAACAGAACTGAGAACCCCCAACCCCGTGCTCCCTGGACTTGCAGTGGGCGTGCGGAGCAGGGGATTCCTGTGTGTGATGTGGGGTGTGGGTGGGTGGGGGGTCATTCATTCTCTGCCATCAGAGCATCTGTGCCGGGAGGAGTGGGCAGGAGGCTTGCCACAGTAGCCAAAGTCTTGACTTTGGTCCCAAAAGCCCAGCAGTTGAACCTTTTCCTCCCCTCCCGTGGCACTGAGTGTAACCAGTGTCCCTGAGGTCCCACCGATCAGGACTGAGGGAGGAGGGATTTCATTCAAAAAGCTTATTGTAGGGGGTGGGGGACGAGGGGAGCTGCTGTGAAGATGGAATCCCCGCCAGCGCTGGGCCAGCACCACGGGGTCAGGGGGTCAGGCAGAAGCTGGAGGGTGAACAGGTGGAAGGCTGCTTGGGCAGCTTTGGGGGCAGGGCCCTGCCCAGGGCAAGGGCTGAACTGATGTTGAGTCAGCCTCGGCACTGGGAACCAACGTGCTTGTATCCTACTTATCTTCTCTGTGGTAGAGACTGGCCTCACCTTAGCAAACCCAGGTGTCCAGAGTCTTGTTCTGGGCAGGGGTTCCGGGACACAGGGCAGAGGCGGTTTTCCAGTCACAGGACCAAGGGGTAAAGTCCAATGGCACTGTGTGGGGCCCAGAGCTGATGCAGGCTGTGGGGCGGGAGGTTCCCCGCACATCTGTGTGCTAAGTAAGCCTCGGGGTTGGCAGTTGTGGTTGTGAGGCAGCGTCCTCTGGAAGGTAACAGTCATGTAGATGATTCCAGTCAGGGATTGGACCTTTGGTGGCGCCTCCCTCTCCTCTCTGTCACACACACAGACACGGCATCATCGTGCACCTGTGTCGGCTCTCCACCTTCTGTGTGAACTGCACCTGGGTCTGCGTTGTATGTGGGGGAGTTAGGGTTTTACCCATTAGAAATGTCATCCTCATCCTGTAATAAAGTGCCTGAAGAGTGTCTGTCAGTTTCTGTTTACAGTTTATTGGTGAGGAATTGCAGGAGATTGCCTGCCACAGGGTAACGTTCCCACTGTGGGCTGAGAGGACCTGATTGTCCATCAGGTCAGCTAGTCCAGGGAGGGGAGATAAGTATCTAGAACTTTCTAAGTCCACAGTTTCCTTGTTAACACTGAGGAGACCTGAGGGCTGTCAGCAGTCCCTTGGGGAGTAGAGACAGGAATGGATGCCTAGGGGTGAGCAGTGGGCTTGGGGCTCCGATGAGACCTGCTTGCTGGTGTTCCTCTCTGCAGCCTCATGCACCCTTGACCAGCAAGGCGGCTGGGCAGCACCCAGTCCAGTGCTTGCTCCGCTCCCTCTGCTGGTCGCCGGGGGAGGGGCCCCCAGTGGACCTTTGACTGGGTCAGGCGGTGCCTCCCCTGCCGGCATCCCAGACACAGATCCTCACTCACCCTGCCGCTGGGCCTCCCTCTTGTGTCTGCTGAGCAGGAGGGGGTCCTGAGGCTGCCCTGGCAGAGGGACTAGGAATGGTGGGCTGCTTAGGGCCGCTGCCTGACTCTCCCAGTCCCTCTGTCTGTCTGTCACCACCTGAGCCAGCCTTCTGGGGTGCCCACGCGGCTCTGATGGGCAGCACGTCACGTCCTGCACTCCACACATGCATGACTCATGCCTGGTGTAGTCTGGTCATCTCCCAAAATAGCTGCTGCATGCAGTGCACCACACCCAGTGCCTCCTGCTTGTTGTGAGTTCTCTTCCCGAGGCCTGCTGGCTAGTATTTGGTTTGTTACCACGTTAAGTCGTTGTGTAGAGGAGATGCGGTTCTGCTGCACAGATGACCTGTGTGAGGGAACTTTCTGGAAATGGGCTGTATTGACTGTGCAGGTAGTTGAGTGTCTGCGTTTGTCAAAACTCAATGAGTTAACCTTAAAAATTGCTCTTGTTGGTAACGAAAAGTTGAATTTTATTTAATATGTTGTAAAGTGTCGTTGAAGGAGCTCTGGTAGCATAGTGGTTACGAATCGGGCTGCGAACCTTAAGGTCAGCGGTT